AATTTTTCACTGGCTTCACTAGTCTAGTAATTTTTTAATTACTAGTAGATTTTAATTACTAATAGGATACACATTGAGTTTGCTGATTTGAAAGAAAACATAAATTGCGATTGTTTAGCCAATTAATTCTGCATGTAATAAATTAGTCAGAATGATGCTTTTTAAATAAGAAAACATACATACGAGAATTTTTTAAAGTTCCATATAGAACTGGTGGGCTGAGATTCCAGCACATTTGAAGTGTAATTTCTGCTAAACAACCACTAATGTGAACTAGGATTTGGCATGTTGTAGTGAATTGTTCTCATAGTGTCTTAAGCTTTGAGGACTTAATTTCTTCTGCCACTAGACTTTTAATGTGGTTTTTTTTTTTTTGCACACTCAATAAAATGAAACTTGCTGTATAAACTGGATAGAGGTGTATTGACTGTTCTGTAACAGCTGCAAACGGCTGATCTATGTGGGTAGTACCCAGAGATTGCCCTGGACTCCCCCATTACTGGAGAAGCTCCTGTGCAGCCATCAGTATTGCAGATGGCACTGTCATGGCACGTGTTGCTGCTGGCATAAGACCTGTGTGCTGCTCTGTGGTAACGAGCAGTGGGCATGTTTCCAGTGAGAGGTTCTCTGAAGATTGGCAATGCTGCTACAACCTTCAAGTGTCAGGGGTAGGTTCAGCCACACTAATGACTCTAGTGTCATAAACTTATTCTGGTAGTGAGGGGTTTTTTTTCTTCAAAAGACCCTTGTCAAAGAGCAGATCAAAAGAAATAGGTGTCAACCCCAAGTATGCTCTTTGAATGAAGCTTCATTTAGGCAGCACTGTAAAGTTCTATTTGTGGAAATGTTTTCTTGGCAAAGATTAAAAGTGTCAAGGTAATGATTGTCAGCTTTTGGCCTTTGTTTTACAGTTCTGGTTCAAGCCATATACTGTAGTATATCTTATATGTATGGATGCTAAAAAAGCTGCACTTCACTATAAGGTCTGCCTTATCTAATTTCATGGGGTTTTTTTAATAGTTGAAAATGTTTCTTTCTGTAGATGGACCTAATTATTTTATCAGAAAATGGCTTTGCATCTTCTACAGATATTTTAAACTTAGCTGACCAACTTAAGACAAAGAAAATGAAGAAAAAGGAAGCAGAACAAGTGTTGAAAGTTTTTGTGGAGGATAAGTGGCTCTCTGAGGTAACTGCTATATCTATTTGTATTTTAATAGTCCAACTATTACTTTCTTATGGATGTGGTGGCTGAAACTGAAGCTGTTCTTTAATGAATGATGGCAAAAATATTTTTATGGGCCTGTGCTTATTGCTGCTCCCGTGAGTTTTGCAGAAAAGGTCGCAAATTTACAAGTAAAAACCTCTTGGGTAGGTCTATAGAGGACAACACAATTTTGGTTTCTTGTACCTGAGCTAGGTGGGTATGTGTACAGCCCTGCTCTGTCATTCAGACATCCTCTGTATGCATGCAACAACTTGAAACAAGAGCTGGGATTGGTGCTGTTAGTTACATCTAGAACATCCTGAAAAGCAGCGAGGCCAAACATGTTGAAAACTGTACCAGAAATGCATGGGCCACTGTGGCATTTTAGATTTACCATGTGGACACAGCAGTTGTTTGGCAAGACAAATGACACCTCAGCAGTCCCTTTTCTCCTCAACTCATCGCATCATAGATCTCTGACCTGCTGCCACACATTTACTTATGTTAGCATAATTGAGCACAGATTTTCAAAGATACCATAAATGCCTGAATTTGCTGAAAGCCAGCAGAATCTCTGCTGATGTGCAAATGGGAGGGTCCCAAAACTGCATGTCTTTAAGAAAAGCATGTTTTCTCACCTGTACCTTCCAATGACCACATCTGTTAAAGGTGTGAGATCTTTATTCTTATTCTCTAAACGAATTCTGCTACTTCAAAAATATTTTGGCTTTGCATTATATTAGTGCCAGCATGTTAGCTTCACAATGGCAGAAAAAAAGTGGATGTCAAATGCTTGCTAGCAGATGGTTAGAAAAATCAAAAGTAAAAGGAATTAAAGGAAATTCCTCATCTTGACACTTGTTTTCTTAGAGAAATGGAGAATATACTCTACATACTCGCTGCATAATTGAGATGGAACAATACATTCTCAGCAACTACCAAGATGCAACAAGGAAGTGTAACATCTGTCACAGCCTTGCCATCCAGGTAACACTTATTACATAAGTACATCAGCAGATGCCTACTGAGGTAGTCATAGCTGAAGTTTGTGATGCCTTCCAGCACGCTAGAGATGAACCCTTGTCCTTAAACAGGATAACAGTTAAGCATTAGCTCTCTTATCTTTGGACCTTACAAAGAGCAGTCTTTGTGTGACACATGTTCATCTTTCTCCTGAGACTTTGTTTCAGGGATTGTGCCCCCCTTGACTTCACAATGAACATGTATGCATGCCAGAGCACTCTATTTTGAAAGCTGCTAAGCTAGCAGTTCGGCCTTGCATAAGTGGTTACAGCCTGAACTCCTGTGCTAAAACAAGTGCATTTTCTTGCTCCTTGACCCTGCATCTTTTCATCTTCCCAACTAACACAGAGTCATAGAATGGTCTGGAAGGGATCTTAAAGATCATCTAGTTCCAGCCACCCTGCGATGAGCAGGGACACCTCCCACTAGACCAGGTTGTGCTTTCATGTTACTTTTTCCATCCCAGTTGGTCTCCCTTATTGCACCCGAAGAACAGAGTGTTCTCTTTTCAAGTTAAATTTTGTCCATATAGGGAAATACTATTTCCTAGTTTCCAGGAAACTATCTTTTATCATATACTAGCTTTGACTTTTGAGTACCACACACTGTACTGTGTGAACCTTTTCTCTGTAATAAAGCACTGCATATCTGCCTCCCTTTGTAAGAACTTTAAAGGACAGGTTAGAAAAATTTATATTTTTTTATTCAACTCTTCTGATTTCAGAGCCAAGTATGTGAATCCTGTGGAATTGGAATGCATTTGCCTTGTGTCAGAAAGTACTTTAGATCTCAGACTGAACCACACTGTCCACAGTGTAATGATTTCTGGTCTCTTGACATTCCAGGTACCAAGCAACCTATTTTAAAAAAATTTGAGGGTAATCATACTAGAGATGGATTGTGATATTCAGTGGCAGTGTCTGCATTGTTCAACTGTGGTTGAATATCAGTTATTTCTGACTTTAATTCTGTGTTTCACACAGCAAACCACACATGGGCAACACTGAGCCCTGAAGTGCAAGGATTATGACCTATGGTCAATAGCAGATTCCTGTGCATATTGTTTCAAACAACACTGGAGTTGAGGGGGAGGGTGGTAGGAGACAGACACAACACATGACACTAAAACTTGTGAAAACACTAAGCTTCTAAGAAGAGCAAAATCTCTTCAGAATTCTTCTGTTTAGCCAGGGAAATGGGACGTTCTGAACAGGAACATGGGAATATATAAAGCATTTTAAAAATCTGGAGGTTAAACAATACCATCCTTTTTTTGTGTGTAATTCATTAACCTTACTTTTGTCTTCTCTACAGGCATGAGCCAGGTAGACACCCAGTCACCATCAAAAGCAGGGAGAGCAGAGAAGAGCTTCATTCTCGGCACTAGATGATAGTAGAAGAACTTGGCTTGCAGTGAAATAATTTTTCATCACTCCTGAAGAATAGCCAGACTGCACTGTATTTATTAGTAAACATAAGAACAATGATTCTGTGTACTTATTTTTTCCTGAAGTTTTAAGAATCTTACAATAAAACTATAACTACCTTCCTGTTGTCCTTTTTCAGTTATGCCTGCCCAGTTTTTGGAGGCTGTTCTGTATACATAGTTCTCCATATTCTTGGGTTAGGTCTCAGTGCATGTTTAGGAATCAAAGATGCCAGTGTTGTCAGTAAGCCTCACAAACTGATCCATGCAGGTGAACAGTCACAAGGACCCTTTCTCAGCAACAGTGTTCCCTATTTGTACAGCTTCAGCTGCACAACTGAAAATGAAACAGGGCTTCAAGCAGGTGAAAAACAATGCAGCACTTGAAGTCTCTTACATTAAGAAGGCTGGCTAGATCTGATCTAGGGCTAGAGTCTGAACACTTTCCATGGGTACTGTTGCTTGTTCTTTGTTCTTTCTGCAGAGGAAATTCATCTGATGTAAGGCCAAGTCAGGAGCAGTGATGCTCAGTAAGAGAGGGAATATTCCCACAGTCAAAACAATTGAGAAGGAGTAGGACAAGACTTTCAGGGAAATGACAACTTGTGTCAGCAGTGTGTGGAAAAAAAAAAAACAACAACCCACTGCCTTGTCTTTTAGTTTCTAGTATTAGCACTTCACTCTCCAGTTTTATGTAAGGATGCTTTTTCCTTCAAGAGTGACTTGAAAAAGAGACAAGGACTAGATATTGCCAGGTACCAGAAGGGAATGGCAGCAGCTCTTAGTAAAAATACAGACACTGCAGAAGGCAGTGTCAGCAGTTCAGCTGCTGTTTAATCCAAGTATGATTAATAATCTGAAACTTAAACTATGGATTAACTACAATGAATTACATTCCTAGGCCTTTACACTAGTAAATTTTTCCATACAGTTAGCATCTTGCTTTCTGTAAACTTTGTTTTAAAGCACATTGAGCCTTTGGGTAGCACCATCCCTCACTGTTTATGTAACTCCAATTCATGTTATTAAAACCAAGTAGAAGATAACACTAAACTGATGTTCCAAATCCAGACTGAAATTGAGTCCTGGCACTGCCCATATCTAGAGCTGCTTCAGGTGTACACACGCATAAAGGATGATGACCTAACAGATGCTCTTTATGAGGAGTTCATATTAGAAACATCCACAAAAATAAAGTGGCTGCAGCATCTTCTTTCCATTTACTTATCCAGATTCCTTCATGCTGAAGCAAGGGTTTGTAGGGGTTTTGATTTTTTTAATCCCCCTTTACCTCTGGATAGGGAAGAACATTCTCATGCTTAAAAGGAATTCTCTTGCGAGAAGATGCCTGATGCTACTTCTGATTTTTAAGTCCTCTTGCAATGCTAACAGAGCACATGTATGCTTCAGAGCTATGACCACCAGAAACTGACAGAGAAGCTGATATCAAGTGATCGTACATAGTGCCAATATTTAACAGGAATAAACAGAACCTGTCCAGGCATCAGAATACAGGACTGAAATGCAGCCTTTCTGAAATTGGGAAACTTATCTAAGTCAGGATCTTCCACGTCAACCTATAAAAACCCAAAACAATCATCAGTACAATGTCTTTACTCACAAATTATTTGATAGAGTAACATTACTGATAACACAATTTTAGGCAACTATTTACCTGACTAGTGTTGTGAAGAATTTGGCTTTCATGTGGGTACAGGTTTTCTGAATCTTGTGGTGAACACAGACGGATATACTTTCTTCCAAATACCTGTATGTATTACAATAAATGTTTTCCATCTGTTATTAGCTTGCACCTTACTGGAAACTGTGGGCCACAGCTGATATTTAACAGTAAAAATGTACCTGATTACAAGAAACGTCATGTTTGTGAGCAATAGACAGACACTGCTATTTTAAAAAGTTAAACGAAATCAGGCGATTGAAATTCAAGAACGTGCTCCCTTTGAGCAGGTAAGAGCTTGAAATACTGTTAACCAAATTACTTTAAAAGGCACCCGATTTATATAATGTTATTTTGGCTCTACATAGCTAGAAAGTGCATAGAACTGAGAATAAGGTTGTGTCTTCAGTGCAGTTCATGTCAGCAGGCAGAGGTACCAGCACAGTCTGACCACTTCCACACAGGCCTTTAGCTCTTAACTGTGTCGTCATTCAGTTAGGATTTCCATTGGGGTGCCAACTGGAAGTTATCAAGTTGTCCAATACCTATGTCTCTAACACTTACACACCATAAGCATTTTTATTGCAGTATAGCCTTAATGGCATGTGTAGAGTGAGTAGACTACAGACCTGGGCTAAAAAATTTTGCTGTGGATCCTGATGAAGAGGTGAGATAGTGCCTTTTGGACCAAACCAAGCGTTAATGGTGATGTCATCTTCGTCCCCTTCCCCCAGGCAGCAGTAGTCAGGGATACTGATATCCTCTTTCAGTTCTGGAATCTACTTCCATAAAGAAATAAACATTAAAAAGGGTTATGTGGTGACTTGTCAAGGGTCTGTAATTCACAGAACAGAGGCACGAGGCCTGACAAAGAAAACAAACAACCTGCTTATCCATCAAAGGCAGGAGAGAAGGAACTGAACTGCTAGGAATCTGCAGGAACTGTCCTCATGCTTTCTGTTCTAACAAGTATATTCTGTTGGAGAGGCAGGAGAAAGAAAGGGGTTCCTCATTCTTCAGAAACCCTGTGCTTCAGCAGAAACCAGAGAAACCCACAAAAATAAGTAGATTTGCAGTTAATAGAAAAGAAGCAGGCGCTTCTCTGTGAGATACCCTTCCTACATCTCCCACCAACCTGATCTCTGGTTAACTGGAATGACATTGCAGAATACAGTGAACATATCACCACTGAAAACTGTTTTGTGTCAAAATCTCTTCCCTGACTTACTCTTTTTTTTTTTTTTCTTTTTTTGAAATGCTGCTTTCCAGGTGACATCCCTGTAAATATATCCTACATTGTACCAAAACAGCACTAAGTCTGAATGTCCTCACCCCTGAAAGGGTTTTGTTTCCATGCCTTTTAGCCAAATGGCACAAACCTCTCCCTCTATTCCTCCAAACTGTGGGAACAGAAACTTAAGAAATACTGTGAATTCTCCGTATGCCCTTCTATCTAGCAGAACTGACATCCTTAAGAGATGACTTATGCTACAAAGGGAATACATGACTGCAGAAAGATAAAAACATTAACTTAGTTTTACCTGATCAAAAAGCTGGTGCTGGGCAAGGTATCCCACACTGTTCTGAAATTGCAACAGAGAAAGAAAAAAAAAAATGCATCGTGACACACAGCATAAGACTTCTCAGGCAGTTAATTTATTTATCAGTAACATCAATTTCAAGTGTTCAAGTGTTTCAGAATACTGGAATTCTTTCAACAACTGACAAGTGCAAGTGGTCTTCTGAAATAGTAACTTAGAGCTACACTGAAATTTTGAGAGTGTAGATATATCCCTGCAATCAAAAAATTATCTGGCTCGAGTTACTGGAAGAAGCCTAGCTATAATCCTAGAGAGTCTCAACAGTCCTGTTGTCAATCCTGTGACAACGCTCTGCATCTTTATAGCTAGACACTGCTGGTTCACAGCCTCCTTCACCTCCTAAGTATCTTAACACTGTGTTCCAGGATCCACCACAGACCAGTTTCCACTGGCACACAGTCCTTCCTGTCAGACTAGGAAACAGAAATGAAAGCTTCTGATCCTCAGCTGTGAAACTAAAAGGACATTCAGTTGCTAATTAATGTTACTCCTTTACCTGGTAGCACATGAATGTGGGTCTTGATCTAGGTCTCACTAAGCTGTTTAATAACTGAGTAGAAGCAAACTGCTGGCTGAGGACCTCTTATCCTTACGCTACCACTGAGGCTTTTGCTGCAGAAGATATCTACCTGTTCATCAAATCCCAGCTGCTGTACATTTGATTATATATAAAAATCAAACCTAGCTATTGTTGCAATAACTATTTGTAGCTTCAGATCTTGAAAATATGTCAAAACATTTAATTCAGAGTAGTGCTTCTAGTATACCCCCTCCCCAAGCATGCTTGTTCTAAGCAGAAGTTCTGTCCCTGTAACACACTGCTGTATTTGAAGATGCAACATGAGGAGAGTAACAGACCTCATTCACAATATACTGGCTGATGAAGTCACTGACAGTCATGAGCTTCTGAGACCATTCCTCGTCTGTGTATCGGGCACCCAGCTCCACGGGGACTGTGCGGCACCCTGCGACTCGGCAAAAATAGTCAACACTGAAATAAAGGAAGTTCCATTACCCTTTTATACTGTTCTTAATTTTGAAAGTAAGGCAATCAATCAAAATCAATCTTTTAGAGTAATAAAACCCTGCTACCAGGAGTTTCTTCTAAAACAACCAACCAACCAGAGACGAAAGAAAGCAGCAAAGGATGCAGGCAGCACGGAAACAAGCAGTCCAGTCTGTGTGTACATTAAGCCACAACTCTGTTTTGCTTTGGTTTAAAACTTTGTTTACCTCAGTTAACTACTATTTCCTTAAGACCCAAGGAGATTTAAGCTGCAAGCCTGTCTGGCTTAGGGTTGGCTAACCTGCTTGGTAAATAAAACGTTGTATCTTTTTACCCATAGGGCCAGGCTGACCCTCTCAGTGACAAATGCTGTACACAGGTGCCAGTAATATCCATCCTGGCTAAAGTCAGAGGAACGACTTTGACGAATGTTATAAATCTCTCCATCGATAAGGATACTAACTAAATGGAGACTTCCATCTTTTTAAATGTCTCAAGTTAAGCAGTGGAGTATCTTCCCTCAAAAAAGAATAAAACCCCTGTGAAATGACAAGTATGCTCACTTAGTGTCAGTCCTACCCTTGGCTATGAAATGAAACCAATTGCTCAAACTAAGCATGTTTTCACCCCTTTTTTCTAAAAAATCATGAGCTTTATGTCACAAATATTTGGCTCTTGATGCTGGAAACAGCTCCAGTGCTACCTTACACAAGCAGCACAATGTTATTACTCACTCCTGAGTGGCAGTGTATGAAAGTCAACACCCAAACACAACTCTAAGCAAACATCAATACTTGTGAATGAAAAAGCCAACCCCACTTACTCACACAGCTCTGAAATTCACTTGCCATTGCACTAATTACCAGCAAGCTCTGAGACACAAAATACACTGATGTGTGTCTGGCAGACCCAGTTATGACACAAGCAGCTCACTGAACAGCTGGCAGTGGCAGTGTGTTGCATTTCCATCTAAGTAGCACCTAGTACCAGCAAGGCGCTGGAGCTCCCGGCACAGCCTGGGAGCCAGGGCTGAGCACTGCCCTGCCAGTCCAGATGCCAGTCTCACCATGCGATGCTCTGAATGGTTTGATACAGTTCCCTCATCCACGAGGCAACTTCTACAGAGCAGACAACGCCACAGCAGAAAGGTGCTGTCAGAAAAATCCATTCCCAATGGCACCCATCTTCTGTGAAGGTCTCTACTGCTCTGCTGAGCATCACAATAGGTGACACAGAAAACAATCCTCACCCTTACTAGGACAGGGAAGAAACTCTTATTTCTCACCTCCACTTCTTCATACATGGCCAGTGATCAATAATCCCCTCTAAGACCACAGGCTTCTGGGGAATTAGATAGTTGTCTCTGAAGTGCTCCAGCGAAGGACAGTGAAGGTGTGGAAGCGCATCTTCTGGCTGCACTACAGGGACCGGAGGGGGGTCGATCCGGACCCTCTGCA